GCCACCTTGTGTGTACGTGGCTGGTGCCTTAGCCACTTGAGCCACAGGCGCCAAGCCTGTTACCAGGTTCTTATAAGTACTTGACTTATCTGTAAGAAACTTAGGATTGGTTCTTAAAAGATTACTCTGAACTTTCAAAGTCTCAAAAATGAACTAAAACTAGTCATACATCAACTGGTACATTTGATTCGGAACAGACAAATGCTTACCTTATACTTCTCATAGACAATTGGGACACTGAAAATGAGTAGTTCAGCTGTAAGACAGAATCAGACATAGCAAGTATAAATGTGAGATAGTCTCAAAGTGTCAAGACTCAAAGTAATGCATATATTTTTTCCTCATGAAATGTAGGGAAAACAGATCTTCCTCAATATATAAAATCCTAACTAGAGATCCCAATTAGGACAGTTAGAGATACACAGAGCTAATTTAGGGCTGTGTTTGAAAAAAAAAAAAAAGGCTCAGTGCCTGTGGCTCAAGCAGCTAAGGCAACCGCCATATACACCCGAGCTGGCGGGTTCAAATCCAGCCCAGCCAGCCAAACAACAATGATGGCTGCAACCAAAAAATAGCCAGGCATTGTGGCGGGGGCCTGTAGTCCTAGCTACTTGGGAGGTGGAGGCAAGAGAACTGCTTGAGCCCAGGAGTTGGAGTTTGCTGTGAGCTGTGATGCCACAGCTCTCTACCCAGGGCGTCAGCTTGAGGCTCTGTCTCAAAAAAAAGAAGAAAAGAAAACTTCTTCAGGCATAGTTTCTTTCTTTCTTTCTTTCTTTTTTTTGAGGCAGACCCTCAAGCTGTCACCCTGGGTAGTAGAGTGCCATTGCATCACAGCTCACAGTAACTCACAGTAATCTCAAATTCCTGGGCTTAAGCGATTCTCTTGCCTCAGCCTCCCAAGTAGCTGGGACTATAGGCACCCGCCACAGCGCCAGGCGACTTTTTGTTGCAGTTGTCTCGGTTGTTTAGCAGGCCCAAGCCATGCTTGAACCCGCCAACTTCAGTGTATGTGCCTGGCGCCGTAACCACTGTGCTACGGGTACCGAGCCAGATCCCCATATTTAAATCAAATGTAGGTAACTCTCCTTTACTGCCAACGATTCTGATAGTCCTTTATAACAGAACAGTAATAAACCAGTGACCACCAATACAGGTCCCTCCAGTATCCACTCCAAGGTATCTATGGATAATAAAGGCTGGGCCTTGCAGATTGAGTGGAGCCATGCTGGGCATTCTCTTCACTCTTATTCTTCTTCAAAGAACATGGAGATATTTTCCCTGCCATCTTACCAAGAATCAGAAGGGTGATTCCATTAAAAACGGCACCAACGTAAGTCATCAGCCACATGAAGACAGCCAGCTGTGGAGGCCAACGTTAGACGATTAAGCAGGAATAACCGTAAGGTATGTGTCAGGTTAACTGATGCTATCCCCCTTCAGCTATTTAGCGATGTCTGGCTAGATAATTTCAAAATGAAGCTTCCTTCACTTGTGCTACACATCTGAGAGCTTGTGAGAGAATTCTGTAGCTCTCGCATGTCTAAAGACAGACCAACTGCACCGCTGCCAACTATATCACCATTTCCCTAGCAGGAGGCAAGAACTCTCTCTGTTGATCCCCACTTTTTTTTCTCTTGAGACAGAATCTTGCTCTATCACTCAGGCTAAAGTACTTGAACTCCTTACCGCAAGTGATACCTTCTCACTTTAGCCTCCCAGAGAGCTAGAATAACAGGAACAAGTTACTGTGCCTGGCCCCATTTTTATAGATTGACTGGGACAAACATACCTTGGTTTTGTTTGATAAAACCCTATATACAGTTTTGCTTCTGAATTATAACCCATTCCCTGGTTTTTCTCAGCTTGATTACCAAAAGCTGCAGAAGCTACAAACCTTCAAGGAGTCAACCAAATCTTCTACCAGAAAAAGACGAATAATGAGCTTCAGGGCCCTGTTGATGTGTACCATGGCAGCATTCATGTAGTTATGGAACGCTTCTGAGGACAGAGTAATGTCTACGTCCAGGTAGGCTCTTCCAGAACAAACAGTCACATATTTAACATGGAAGGAAAAGATTTTCTGTTAGCACAGCAGTTCTTTGGAATGTGACACTGTCTCCCAGGGTGCATTTTAGAAATCTATAGGAGCAATTTTTACTGCCATGGGGTGGGAGGTGGGGAGACACCACTGTCATTTAATGGGCAGAGGCAAAGATGCTAGATGTCTGCAAAGTGTGGGACAGTCATGTACAAGTTAGAGGCTTACACTTGTGCATGGACTGTCCTGCTAGATGTCTGCAAAGTGTGGGACAGTCATGCACACACTGTGTTCTGGGTAGCTTTTATTGCCTCACTGGATATTCATGAAGGGGAACCTATTTGTAATTAAGAGACCAGAACATATAAAAACAAGGTATTTTTTCCGGTGTTTTTTTTTTTTTTTTTAAGAGATGGTGTCTCACTTTGTCGCTTTTGGTAGAGGGCCGTGACGTCACAGCTCACAGCAACCTCCAGCTCTTGGGCATAGGTGATTCTCTTGCCTCAGCCTCCAGAGTAGCTGGGACTACAGGCGCCTGCCACAACGCCTGGCTATTTTTTAGAGATGAGACCTCGTTCTTGCTCAGGCTGGTCTCAAGAACCTGTGAGCTCAGGTCTTACCTGCTTTGGCCTTCCAGAGTGCTGGAATTACAGGCGTGAGCCCAGCCTTTTCCAGTTTTAACATATCCTAAATTTTCTAGAACTGTATTTTGTTTATGCTACAGCTTTACTTTTTTTTTTGAGAGTCTCACTATGTTGCCCTCAGTAGAGTACTGTGGCATGACAGCTCACTCTTGGGCAACCTCAAACTCTTGGGCTCAAGCGATTCTCTTGCCTCAGCCTCCCTAGTAGCTGAGACTACAGGTGCCCGCCTATTTTTTGTTGCAGTTGTCATTGTTGGTTAGGTGGCCCGGGCTGGGTTTGAGTCCACCACCTTTGGTGTATGTGGCTGGCGCCACTGTGCTAAGGGTGCCAAGCCTTTCTTTTTTTTTTTAAACGATTTTAGAAAACCACATCTGTATTGGTGATTATACTGGTAGTTGAAGTATCTGACTTCTTCATTGTGTTTTGTGGTATAGTCAGGTCTAAGTAATTAAATATTGACCATACACATGTTACTTTATTATAAATGACTTTCTATTTCATCACACTTTTATATTACAATCATGATCTTTTGGTTTTTTTAGTTTCACTATGTTGCCCTTGGTAATGTGCTGTGGTGTCACAGCTCACAGCAACCTCCAACTCTTGGGCTTAGGTGATTCTCTTGCCTCAGCCTCCCTAGTAGCTGGGACTACAGGTGCCCGCCACACCGCCCAGCTATTTTTTGGTTGCAGATGTCATTGTTGTTTGGCAGGCCTGGGCTGGGTTCGAACCTGCCAGCTCTGGTGTATGTGGCTGGTGCCCTAGCTGCTGAGCTACAGGTACAGCCTGATTTTTTTTTTTTTTAAGACAGAGTCTCACTATATTGCCTAGGCTGGAATTTAATGGTTATTCACAGGTGTGATTATAGTTCACTACAACCTCAAACTCCTGACTTGAACTGATTCTCCTGCTGAGTGGCTGGGATTAAGTCTTCTTTAGTCCTTAAGTGTGAGCCTCTAACTTGTCAAAAAGTTCTTGACTCTTAACTTGGGGACTTCTCAAGATAGATGGTCTCAAAGTCTCTAGCTGATGGTTCACGTCCCTCTCCAGCTGCATCAGGTCTACTATAGGGCCATAATTGATTTGTAGACCTGACCAGCCTCAGCAAACCTTTTAACTAAAATGTAGAATGTTGCTTGTGAAACTTTGACTCACTTGAATGGATGGCCTTCCTCTGACTTCTGTACAGCTTGGATGACAGATTTGTAGACCCTGAAGCTGATGGTGACAGAGAGAAGAGCCAGAATGAGGTAAGAAACCACACTGATGACGCTGAAAGCTGCCAGGGAAAGCAGCACGATCAGTGTAGTGCCAAAGACAAATCCAGTCTTCTTCACATCCCGCCAGAAAATCAGATCATGTACTGTCAAAAGAAAAGGGAATACAAGTTATAAGACGACCCCCAAGTCCAAGGCCAGGACTGCTCTCTGGCTATGTCTCTCATTCCTGGGCAGCATCATTCTAGCACACAAATATAGATAATACCCCACTTTAAAGACTCTTTTTTAGCACTCCAATTGCTCAACAGATTAGCGCATGGTCAAGACTCTTTTTTGGGGGGCAGGTGCAGTGGCTCACACCTGTAATCTCAGCACTTGGGAGACTCTAGTTTTTAAAGAGACAGGATCTTGCTACATTGCCCAGGGTGGCCTCAACCTCCTGGGCTCAAATGTCCTCCCACTTCAGTCTCCTGAGTAGCTGACACTATAGCCGACCACAGTTATGCCCAGTTCTAAAAGCTCTGAGAGCTTTTTAAAAATCAAATTATATCAGGGGTTATGATTCATGCTGCAAAAAGGCTGCAAAAGGCTTCCCTCATATACTGATTAGATTCCAGGATAGGCTTATAAAAACGTACAAGCTTATTTTGGCTATGGAAGCACACTTGAATAAAGTGCCATTTACCTTAAGTGTTTTGGCAGAAAAAAATAAAGCAAGTATGGCAAAACCTTGCAAACTGTTGAATAAATTAAGCATACCATGAAATTAGCTGGATCAGTAGACTATAAAACCAAAGCTAACTTGAAATGCCCCTAACTTTGGGGCAGGGAGCATAAAAGAAGTAAATAAAAACGGACCAAGCTCTATTAGTGCTGTTATAATGCAACACTAGTTTCTGTGTAAATCTGAAAAGAATTTAGGAAGGATTAAGGCTAGGGGGCCATATTAAATTGTCCAAACAATAATACTTTTAAAAGTTGAGTTGGGGTACTATTAATGATTATGCCAGGAAACAAAACAGATATAAACGAGGACCATTCCAGGCAACTGGGTCTTACAGCTAGGGACTCCAAACTGGGAAAATCTAAATTATTCTACTTAAAGACACCTTCAATTCCTAATGACAGCTGTTGGCAAATATCTCGCATTTGATACCTTTTACATTTCAGTCTGTGAAGATAGAAACACTAACAGCCCCACTGGGTCCTTCCTCCCAGCCACTCTACTTACAAAGAGTAACAAAGGCTTTGAAGTTAGAAAGACAAGATTTTGAATCCTGGTAATTGCTAAAGATACTACTTTAACCTTACAAGTCTCCATTTCCTCATCTGGAAAACAAAGTAAATAGCCCCTAATTCCTAGGGTTGTTTTAAAGGATATAAGAAGGCTAACACCTGGAGAATGCTTAGCATGGTAAATGATACAAACACTCAAATTTTAACTATAATCCAAATAAGGTTAACCCAGAAGACTGGTTTGGGGTAAAATGAACCTGAGTCTGATTCCAGCTGGCCACATGGCACCTATTCCTCCCTATATTCAGCAAAGGTTATATGGGAGTATGTATTACGCTTGCAATTCTTCTACTGCAGAGAAGAATTCTATTCTATTCTATTCTTCTACTGCAGAGACAGAGAAAAAGAAAGCTTGGAGAATAAGGATGGGGCCCACAGAGATGAGAACCTTGATGCATCACAGGGATGATAAAGAAGACCTAAATGCAAATTAGAAAATCTACCTGTGTGCAAATTAGAAAAAGGCACCCTGGCTTGGCGCCTGTGGATCAAGTGGCTAAGGCGCCAGCCACATGTACCTAAGGTGGTGGGTTTGAATCCAGCCCAGGCC